TATATATTTTTTTTCGCACAGCCCAAAGAGGATATCTGAATTCAAAGAATTCCAAGAATACAGTTCTGTTAAGCCCCATAAAATATTAGGAGTTTCGTTAACAAGGTGGCTTGCACTCGAGCAAGTAGTAAACCGTATAATAGAACAGTGGGATCTTTTACGCTTATATTTCGTTTCCTGTTACTTTGAGGTTAATGGAATTCGGGCTGCTGATTTGGCACACATGAAATTTCGCTATACCCTCATACGAGGCACTTTGTCAGCTTCTGCATCTAAAATGTGTAGTAGTAGTAGTAATGTGAAAGCACGCTTAGTAGACGTGTTTTGGACAGTGCGGCAATAACACTGTGAGACAAATGGTAGGGGTCAGTGATCGGGGAGGGTTCAAACTACCGGGGAAAGTTATATCGGTAAAAAAGAAGTTATACGTGTGGGTCACGTCTAGGAATCGAGATATATATATAACTATCATATAGGGGAAATTGTCACCTTTGGTGGTCTTTTTTGACATAACTCGAGAAACACTAGTCCGATTTTGCTCAAACAAATTTAGAAAAAATAAAAATTACAATTCCTTTAATCTGTTCATATAACGTTTTTCTATATAATCAACAGTTTTAAAAAAATTTAATATTTTAGGCAAAAAATATTTTTTTTCTTCATACATTTATTTTTTTCCGGCAAAACTGTTGATTATATAGAAAAACGTTATATAAACAGATTAAAGGAATTGTAATTTTTAATTTTTTTAAATTTGTTTCAGCAGAATCGGACTAGTGGTTCTCGAGTTATGTCAAAAAAAGACCACCAAAGGTGACAATTTCCCCTGTATGATATTTATATATATATCTCGATTCCTAGACGTGACCCAGCGAAACGCCGGGACACGTATAACTTGTTTTTGACCGATATAACATTTCCCGTTGGTTTCATCCCATCCCGATTTTGACTGTCGCATAGTGTAATTTGTGCATATATTCACGTTTTTCAACACTAAAATAATTTAACTAACTGAAACAAAGTCCCATCCAGGTCTGCCCTTTATTTATCGCACTATTGTGAAAATTTTGTTTGAAAGCAGCGAAAGGAAGATATAAATAAACAAATAAATTTTTCATATTGTTTTCGCGAGATGTCAACCAGAACAAAAACAGCCCGCCAAGCTGCTGCCTCTCCAATAACACAGAGTGCAAAAAGCGAGAGCCCGCAGTCAAATAACTGGTTTTCACAAATGCGAGTGAAGATGGACCAGCAGAAAGAGAGCATCATGGAACAACTTTCCGAGTGCATGAAGAGATCCGAAGAGCGAGTGACGCAGCGTTTTGGTGAGTTGACGGCTGATCTTAAAAACTTAAAATTTGCCATCAAAGAGATCGAAGCCCGTGTAGTCAAAGCTGAAGCTGTCTGCGCTCACGTTGAGCAGCTGCGCGTTGATGTGCAAACGTTAAAGTCTCAACCTAATGACGGGAATGAGAGTTCTCGTATTATACGGCTAAACTCTGAAGTGCATACACTCAAAGCACAACTTAACGAGTGTCAAAATTCTCTTGTCTCGTCTGATGCTATCATAAGAGATATCCCGCAGGCGAGTGAAGATAATCTAAGAGATACCTTCTCCAAGCTATGTAGCGCTGTCAACATTATTGCTCCACCGGTACGTGATATTTTCCGCGTTCCCAATAATGACAACAACAACAGCAAAGCTACGGCAGTCATAGTTAAGCTAGGTTCTGCTAGCGACCGATGTCGACTTTTTAGCGCCGTAACACGTTTCTGCAAGCAGAGTAAGAGATCTATTGCGCTGCGAGACATTGGGCCCACGAGAGCCTCACCAAGAATAGCCGTGAAGCTCTGCAGTTCGCAATGCAACTCAAAAGAAAACAACAACTGGGATCTGTGGTTTTTTTTATGGGTGAATGTGTGTATACTCGAGTTAAACCTAAATGCAACGCAGTGAAGGTGTCCAACATTGAAGTTGCCCGTGTGTTAACTGCATCCAGCACGTCGTAATCAAACTTTTGTATGAACATAGATAGCTTTTTAAATTAAGAGCGATTTTAGAATGTATGACTTTAGTTTATAAATTTATTTGTTATATTTGCAATTTTTTCCTTCTTCCTATACTTGTTCTCTTCTCCTTTTTCCCATTTCCTTCTACCTCATTCTCCCTCCACAGATATCGTACATACTCTTTTAGCTCATATCTACTTTTCATACTGATATGCCCTTCTGTGATGCAATGTGTTATGTTTGTTTTTTATTTTTTGATGCTCATGGCGCCTAAAGGTGGTTCGGCACTTTCAACATGATTCGCATATTGAGTAAACGTAAGAAGGGCCCAAAGTTTAGTAAGGAAAATTGATGAATTTAGGTATCTGTTTGAAAATTCGAATGTGGACGGGGTGTGTGTATCAGAGACATGGTTCTCTCCGTGTCATAACGATCACTTATTTCATGTTAATGGGTATAGGCTCTTCCGCTTGGACAGAGTTTGTCATGGAGGAGGTGTGGCTCTTTATGTAAGAAACGGTCTCTCGTGCAAATTTAACTGTGCATCGCCACCTTCCAGCACCATTGAGTACCTATTTTTAGAAATTTTTACTAAATTTGACAAGGTACTTATTGGCTTTGTTTAGAGACCCAACAGGAAGATTTGTCATAATGCGTTTATTGATTTTCCCGAGATTCTTACCATAGGCCACAACAAAATTATTATAACTGGTGACTTTAATAGTGATATACTTAAAGATGAAAAATTTTCACTTCACATAAAAAACCTGGGACTCTGTTTTTTAAATCAAACAACACCTAAGTCCTTTACATGTACTTGCAGTAACTTACTGGACATTTTTCTCGTTAATGAGTTGTCTTGTGTACTTTTGTATGATCAACTTATAGCTCCAAATTTCTCGAAACATGATCTTATTTTTCTCACATTTGACTTACGTTACGATAGCAACCAGTCTCCTACCGTACTACTCCTACCGTAACTTTAACAATATTAACTACGAAAGACTTAATGAAAGTGTTAATTCAATCAACTGGGGATTTGTTCGCTACATGCCGTCTGCTAACGATCAAATTATGTTTGGTTTTCACTATGTCATATTTGACGTCAAATGTTGTCAGTTGAATGAAAGCGGGTTGTCATATGGTATCAAATGCGTTCGTTGTCATATATGACCACGCACGGTCATATAAAATGACAGCCAAGTGAAAACGGCCTTAATTTAATTTGACCGCCAATGTGGCAACATTTGACACCTAAAATTAATTTGCCAGCATGTTGGCAATTTGTTTTCGTTTGACGCGTGCACAGCTGTTTTTCTTCTGCATCAATTTGCAGCAAAGGTAAAATTTTCAATATTTTTCTAAAAGTTAACATATTAATGTTTTACAATGTGCTTTTCAGTGTCAAAGTATGAGTGAAGCAATGGACTCCAATGATTCCTCAGTGTTCGTTAGCCCAAGCGGTAGCACCAGTGGAACGAAGAAGCGGGTGCGAAAACTGAAGGAAAAGTGGACAAATGAGCAAACGGAGAGGCTGGTGCAAGAAGTAGAAGCTAGAGAAGGCACGTGGAATTTTCTTTCCACTGAATACAGGGACAGGAATTTGCGAGAGGCTCAATGGCAAGATGTGGCGGATATTTTGAAGATGCCGCGATCGGAAGTTTCAGCCAAGTGGAACAGCCTTCGCTGCTCTTTCCGCGTAAGTACCTTTGCGATATTCATAAAAATGATTGCTAAAGCAACATTAATATTAGGCGGCCTTCAATAGAAAGGACATACCAAAAGTGGGCAAGGAGCAGGAAGAGCGACTGCAATGAGGCCGCTTTACAATTCCCTCAAATTTCTTGAGCCGACATTGAAAATTGAGGCCAGCACAACATCAAATTTAGGAAATGTGAGTATATGCATAAGTATGCAAACAATTTTATGATTTATTAGTTAACTAATATGTGTGTCTTTGATATTGTAGAAGTGCCCGTCGCCGCTGACCTCATCTGGATCCCCATGTGACGCTGAAACAAATGTGGAGTCTGACGATTCACAGCCAACGCCATCAACATCACGAGCAGCGGGAGTACGACGTCGTGTTCAGAAAGATGATGATGGGTTTTCCGAGGTGGTTGAACGTGCGTTAGAGACCATGTCAGCAGCTGGGAAAAGTGATGCTTGGGATGATTTGGGTAACTTCATTGCCTCAAATGGTCGTGAATGGGCAGCAGAAAGCCCGCAACTGGCAAAGGAGTTCAAGGCCGACATGTATGAAATGGTGTTCAATTATCAGGAGAAATTCGCACGGTAAGAGCAGTAGCAGAATTGTATTGATGAAATCTTAATTCGGATATTTCTTATTTAATTTTTTAGGCCAATAATGACGCATTTTTTGTAATTTTTATGCTTTCCGCTACGTTGAGAGGAAAAACCTTTTGAGCTAAGTCTCATTCAATCTCATTGTTTTTATTATATTTATCAACATATGTTAGTCATAAGCAAGCCAAATGAAATGTGCCTTATTTTTTATTATACTTATTTATTTTTTCTGTTTTTTTTTACAGTATGCGGCCAAAAAATTACCAACGGGACTCAGATATTTGTATTTTCAAGTTTCTCCGATTCTTTTAATTTTGCTTAATGTTTTAAGGCTTTAGTGAACTCAATAACATAAAGCATATAAATCAAAG